TTTTTTTTTTTTTTTTTTTTTTTGGTTTACACGACAAGATAAGAATTCTAAGATGTAATGTTGTCAAGTAAGCTTTATACGATAATAATTTGGAGTTGGAAGATTTACACGGCATATAAGAATCGTATTTATTTGGGAAGTCTTATAAGATAAAGAATCCTATAAGCTTTATACCATAATAATTTAGAGTTGGGGATTTACACGGCATATAAGAATCGTATTTATTTGGGAAGTCTTATAAGATAAAGAATCTTATTTAATTTGGAGTTGGAGGATTTACACGACATATAAAAATCTTATTTATTAAGTATTTTATTTTAAACAATTAGGAAATGTATCCGAACCAAAAACGAAGCATCTAATCTTATTTATTAAGTATTTTATTTTAAACAATTAGAGAATGTATCCGAACCAAAAGCCGCATGTATTGTTGCCAAGTAAGTGTGCGAAGCAGCCAATTAGGCTCAGCATATAAGAATCGTATTTATTTGGGAAGTCTTATAAGATAAAGAATCCTACAAGCTTTAAGAATCGTATTTATTTGGAGTTGGAGGATTTACACGGCATATAAGAATCGTATTTATTTGGGAAGTCTTATAAGATAAAGAATCCTATTTAATTGGAGTTGGAGGATTTACATGGCATATAAGAATCGTATTTATTTGGGAAGTGTTATAAGATAAAGAATCCTATTTAATTGAGCCAATTAAGCTCAGCATATAAGAATCGTATTTATTTTGGAAGTCTTATAAGATAAAGAATCCTATAAGCTTTATACAATAATAATTTGGAGTTGGAGGATTTACACGGCATATAAGAATCGTATTTATTTGGGAAGTCTTAAAAGATAAAGAATCCTATTTAATTTGGAGTTGGAGGATTTACACGACATATAAAAATCTTATTTATTAAGTATTTTATTTTAAACAATTAGGGAATGTATCCGAACAAAAAACGAAGCATGTAATCTTATTTATTAAGTATTTTATTTTAAACAATTAGGGAATGTATCCGAACCAAAAGCCAAAGCATGTATTGTTGCCAAGTAAGCTTCCGAAGCGTGCGAAGCAGCCAATTAGGCTCAGAACATTTTCAAATTATATTAAGAGGGCTCAGCATAGCCAAAGCATGTATTGTTGCCAAGTAAACTTCCGAAGCGTGCGAAGCAGCCCTCAACACATTTTCAAATTATATTAAGAGGGGATTAGGCTTCTGCCATCATTAATATAGGAGGCAATGTAGATTTATCCCATTTTTTATTTTTAAATGTTAATTATGTTAGTTAGGCTTGTTGCATAATATAGGAAGAAATTGTGGGGAGAATTCTAAAATATGGCATGAATTTAACTTTTATTTTTCGATTAAAAAGTGTTTTTTTTTTACTGTTGGTTTCAATTGTTAAAAAGCTCTCAAATCAAAGGCTTACATTTAAGATTCCAATCTCAAATCGATGATTTGTTCAGGGGGCGATTGTATACAAATTCTACAGTAAAAAAATCAATCAAAACTCAACTTTAACTCAACTTTAACTCAACTCCACTATCTCCAATATTATCAATATAATTAAATAATATCAACCAATCATTCTTACACATCACATCAACTTTAATTCACTATTCATCTACTCACATAATTTTAACTAATTATCACTTCCAATCATTTTCTCCTACTTTTACACCAAATCAACTTTAATTATTTTATTTTAAATATTATTTTAATATATCCACTAACAACTAACCATACCACATTTTTTTAAATTTAACTATAGTTAAAAAATAACTAGTTTTTTACTAGTTGAATTCATATCCAATCACCCCCTCAGTCACTAATTATACTTATACTAATCATTAAATAATATACTTATTAATAAAATACATTAGTTATGTAATATAATAAAAATGTATTTTGTTAAAAATATAATCTTTTAAAGTGTGTATAAAATTATAACTGTATTAAAATATAATTAAAAAAATGTCCATTTCATTAATTTGTAAAAAAAAGTCATCCATTCAACTTTATAAAATTACAAAAAAAAAGAAACTTTTTTAAATTAGCTTTTTAATTATAAGCACCAATTATTTTATTTTGAAAATATGTCCATCTATATTTGTCGTTAATTCAAGCCCTGCCTTGAAACGTGCACGCAACTCGCACTCTTGTGACCAATTATGCTCCCTCAGATGTGTATAACTGTATACTAATCGGCGAACTTTACTAAAGGAAAAACACACAAATAACCATTCATGGATAAGACCACCTCCCCCGCCGCGCGGCCGGTTTTTCCGGCGGAGCTGGAATACCAATCCGGCTTCGACAACCACTTCTCTTCCGAGGCGATCGCCGGAGCACTCCCCCGAGGCCAGAACAGTCCCCTCGTCTGTCCCTTTGGCCTCTACGCCGAGCAGATCTCTGGCACCTCCTTCACCTCTCCCCGTAAACTCAACCACCGCAGGTTTATATCAAATTATCAAAACGCAATAACTTATTAATGTTTTTCCCCCTTTTTCTCCATAGTGAAGTTTTGGGATTAATTTAGAGGAAGGGATTTTTTGGCTTGAGCAGCTGGTTGTACCGAATCAAGCCGTCCGTGACGCACGAGCCGTTCAGGCCTAGAATCCCGGTTCACGAGAAGCTGGTGAGCGAGTTCAACCAGTCGAATAGCTCGGCCACGCCGACCCAGCTGCGGTGGAAGCCGCCGCCGGTTCCAGAGTCGCCGACCGACTTCGTCGACGGGTTGTACACTGTGTGTGGTGCTGGCAGCTCCTATCTCCGGCATGGTTTCGCGATTCACATGTAATGTACTATCCCGTGTGATTTTATTCTCGTCATGTTTTATGCTTATCTGTGAAAATTTCTATTGAGTTTTTGAATCTTTTGTTCATTAGAGTTTAGAGTTGCGAGCTAGTTTATTAGACTTGTAGCTTAGTCTTTCTCAAAATTAGGTCGCGTAGTTCGTGGTTTTTTATGTCCAAGTTCTACTGTGTGTTGTTCCTTAGGAATTGAATATTTAAGGATAGTGTTAGCCTTCAATTTGGCAATAACTTCCCACGCGTTATCTTGTGAACCTTGCATAATGTTAGCTAATATTCTGTGCTAGGTGTGATAAACATTCTGTTTGCAAGATTATTTACATATATATCTATACATATGTGTAGGTTAATGCAGTTGCAATATACTTTCAATTGGCTATCTTCCATTCCTTGATTGTTCTTTATGTAACTCCCTCTCGTTCTTATGTTCTTTACTCATGTATGCTTCTTTATCCCTACTCCTTCGTGTATCTTTGGATAACAAAAGCTTTCTTAGATTAATGCGTTCCGACCTTAAATTAAATGGTTGGTTGAGCTGATTTTATAATTTCTTTTTGAGACTCAAATGCTAGTCGAACTGTAGGTATACTGCGAACAAGTCGATGGGTGATTGTGCATTTTGTAGCGCGGATGGAGACTTTTTGGTTGTTCCTCAAGAAGGAAGTAAGTGATGCATGACAATCCATAATTTCACCATTATGGCATGAAACTGCAATTTTGGCGCAAGGCACGAGAACGCAAATATCCTTATAAGTTTATCGACGTTAATCACGTTTGGTAAATGGATACTAATGGCATTTTAAGAAGCAATTGGATGAATCTCAACTGGAATTGAACCTCATCTCAAGTTCCCAGTTCTAATGTCCTTGATATTGCTACAATGTTCTCGAACTTTGTTCTCTCCATCTGTTTACTGTGTTTTTCATGTACTCTCACGATAATATCCACAGATTTTGGGGTTTGGAGTTGATGATTTTTATGTAAAACTTGATTTCATGTTGTGTCTGCTGACTAAGTCTGCTGTTTACTCCCCTGTTGCATGCACGGTTTTCCGATTTTTTTTTTTTAATTTTTTATTATTTTTTGTACTGACAGACATCAAATTCTGTATTATGTTGGTATACATATAGGGCTGTGGATCACTACCGAATGTGGAAGATTGCAAGTATCTCCTGGTGAAATTGCGGTCTTACCTCAGGGGTTTCGGTTTGCCGTTGATCTGCCAGACGGGCCATCAAGGGGATATGTTGCTGAGATATTTGGATCTCATTTTCAACTTCCTGACCTTGGACCCATAGGTTTATCAATTCCTTCTGAAACTTTTATCTTATTTTGGTTTCTCTTGTTCAGCAATGTCACCTTTAAGTTCCTGATGGATGAATTTTTATTTGTGAAACTGATTGGTAGGGTGAGTTCCAAATAATTTAATCTTAAATATTTCATAATTCTCGGATAAAGTTCAAAACAGGAGGCTAAAGAATTTGAAATCTATAGTAACCACACAAGTGCATAACGGATTTGCTAATTATTGGTTGAAGTCCTCTGTAAAGTCTAACTTATCACGTGCCTTTACTTCTGGATATAGGAGCTAATGGTCTTGCTGCTTCAAGGGATTTTCTGGTTCCTGTTGCCTGGTTTGAGCGTACATCCCGTCCTAATTATACAATCATTCAGAAGTTTGGTGGTGAGCTTTTTACTGCCAAACAAGATTTCTCCCCATTCAATGTGGTAGCATGGCATGGAAATTATGCCCCTTACAAGGTGAGTAATCCTTTCCAATCTATTTCACAGATGAAAAATCCGGCAATACGATCTTGATTCACTTACTAATACTATACGCATAAAATGATTTCAAACAATCATAGGCTTTGTTTGGCAATCAGCTGTTAGCGGTTTGCTGTTAGCGGATTCTATTAGTTGTTTTGACCAGCGGATTAGATTAGCTGTTTTGACTAGCTTGTACATTAGCGGATTATTACAGAAAGTGTTTGGTAAATTAGCGTTTTGATATTTTTTATGAATATAATTACTTATAATTATGTTTGTGTATTTTGATATTTTTAGCAATTATAATTATTCTAGAAACTACAATTTATGTATATTATTAATAAACATTAAAATAGTGATTAAACAACAATGAAAATTTAAGGTTACAAATTACAATTTCTATATAATGTTTATCCAAAAATTTTTATAATTTTTTTATCAAAAAAAGAAGAAATGACTAAAATAATGGACAACACTATAAATTTGTTTAACTTAATTATCCTTCTCCTCGCCATCATTTGTCTTCTTTTATTTCCGTTTTTTTTTCTCCTGCGCCATCATTTGTCTTCTTTTATTTATTTATCTTTTTTCTCCTATCCCATCCCAACTTAATTATTCTATCTGACTGAATAATTGTACAACATATATAAATAATAATAGCATAAGAAGCTAACTTCAAACGCTGCAAATTGCAGCGTTTGTGAAATCAGCTTTTTCCCCCAAAAAAGCCATTTTAAACAGCTGAGTTACCAAACAATTTTTAGCTGTTTTAGATGGTCAAACAGCTAAAATGGTTTCAAACAGCTAAAAGCTAGACAAAAAGCCATTTACCAAACAAAGCATAATGCCCTTGAGCTTGATGAAGTACTTTTTGTTATATTTTCAGTATGATCTAAGCAAATTCTGCCCGTACAATACAGTTTTGGTGGATCATAGTGACCCCTCTATAAATACAGGTACATACATACTGCTGCTAGCGGATTCCGCTCAATAGCTATGTTCTTATTGCTTAATACGAAAACTTTGGTTTAACTAAGAGGATAACTTTTTCATTTATCTAGTTTTAATCATAATGGTTATAACCATTAATTGCAGTTCTGACTGCACCCACTGAGCGACCCGGTGTAGCATTGCTCGATTTTGTCATTTTTCCACCAAGATGGTTGGTTGCTGAACATACATTTCGTCCCCCATACTATCATCGTAATTGTATGAGCGAATTTATGGGCCTAATTTACGGAGGTTATGAGGTATAATAATCTTTTTCTTTTTCCTTTATAAAATGAAAGCACGCATTTTCAATAAATCGAATTTTTCTCTTACAGGCAAAAGCTGATGGATTTCTACCCGGAGGCGCAAGCCTCCACTCGTGCATGACTCCACATGGACCCGATACCAAAACATTCGAGGTAAGTAAATCAACTTTTATTCACGACCATAATAGCATTTCTAGCTAAAATATAAGATAATAAACAAAATAAATTAACCAGGCTACTATAGCACTCGGAAATGACGTGGGCCCACAAAGAATTTCTAACACAATGGCCTTCATGTTCGAGTCATGCCTAATTCCTAGGGTCTGCCCATGGGCACTCGAGTCTCCCGATATGGACCACAATTACTATCAATGCTGGATCGGTTTAAAATCCCATTTTACGTGTGAGTCGAAAAGCGATGGTGGCCAAGATGTGGAGAATGGAGACGATGGGAAGAAAATGAATGAAAAAAGCTACTCCGCAGTGTAAGTGCATATACATCTTTTCTTGTACTTCATAATAAAATGTTAATGTGTTGTGTATTTTGAGTGATGAAAAGTTTGTGAATAATATAACCTGGAAATAATTCTGTAAGAGTATCTGGCCCATGAATTACTCTATTTCATTGCCACGTGACGTGGCCTTTCTAGGTTCAGAAGTATTTCTCAACAATTGGTATTATATATTATATTATTTTTCAATTTCTCTCTTTTTTTCAACCAATTACAATCTTACATATGTAAAACTATATTACAGTTAACACCAACAATTGGAAACACTATTTTCTAATTTACTTTCTCTATGTTATCAGAAATTCTATGGCGCCCATATGGGCGCCCATAGAATTTCTGCTATGTTATATATCTTAACATGGACAATGTTTTAATGCTCCAACTTGTAACCCGCTAAATACACGTTGCTAGCTACCCTCCAATAGGGTGTAAAAGATGTTAATGATTAAAGTATTTGAGCCTATCTGAAAACTTTACATTTTTTAGGCGATCGAAGAACTTTGTAAGTTCATTTGCAATATGTTTACGCGCCCTTTGGTCCACTTAGGTATGGGCCTAGGCCGAGCAGAGGTGGGCCTTCGCAGGTTCTCAAGAAAATTGTGCCACCCGAGTTACTATGAAGTAAAATTTCTCAAGAAAATAGTTTTGCTAAAAACTTAGGTAGTTTAAGCATTATTCTCGACTTTTAATTGAATAAAATTTTGAAATTTTAAATATATTTAAATTAAACTCAAACTAATTGTGAAAATTTAACTTTTATAAAATGGATTTTTGTGGTAAAGTTTCAAGATTGAATCCAAACATTGATCAAACAAAAATACTGAGGATTCACGTCTTCACTTGCACTAAATACATATTTAATTTAATTTATAAATTTGACCGCATAATCATTAGAAGGTAAAATTCAGAAATTCTATGGGCACCATAGAATTTCTGAGGTAAAATTACCATTAACTATAATAAGCAAAATGGGGGAGACAAACATTGAACGATACGTATACATAACTATATTGTAGGGTGATTAAGCTATTAGACATTTAATTCACTAAGATTAACAGGTATAATTTTAGTTTCTGTCACTACCCAAAATGTCTGGTATTGTAGTGAAATTATCGATCGGGTGTTATTTGGCTCGGTTGATTTTGCAAATTCTTCCCTAAAATTGTGTTACAACATTTTATATATAGAAACAATAAATATTAGATAAATAATCTATACTTATATAATAAGAATTAACATTTATCCAAAATAGTAGGTCAAATTATGGTCAATGTTGAATTTGCATTAAATATTTTCCAAAACCGGTAACTTTTTGTCCTTTTCACACTTTTCATTAATTATGTCTTTTTCACACTTCTCATTAATTATGTCCTTTTCACACATCTAATAAATTAATTAATTACGACATAATTATCATAAATCATTCCATCTGAGCTTTTATCGTTAAAATATATAGCGATCTATTATGACCTTATCCCATTGATATTTCCATGAAGCGTCCTTATCGCATTCTATTTTATGGTAACCACTCTATATCTTTTTTTTTTACGGAACGATAGAGATATTATATATAACGCACAAATGTGCAGAAAACAGCCACCAGCTGATCACAACCAGCCAACAGCTGAATACAAGCAGCCAATAGCTAAAAACTGGGAGGACAGGACAAAAGTCTGCCTAGAACCGACCCCAACGGGGTAATACTCAAGAACACTAAAAAGAAAAGACACCAACTAATAACGCAAAAGGCCCCAACAGGACAATTCCCGAGTGTCGGACTCCAACAGAGTAATGAAAATGACACTCGGGAGCACCGAGGCCAACGGCCCAAACCTAAAAAACATAATAGAACACCCAGGCAAAGAGCCCAAACCAAAACACGATCCTACCACATAAAACAACAAAGATACCTAAAACAACTACACACGAACATAACAGCCTCCCACAGCAGGTACATCCGAAAAGGTCAGCAGACAAAGTCGGTTCCGAGGAGAGCTCCAAAACTCCGATACCACGCCCACCACTGCTTAAGGCCTAGCAAGACGATGACCGGAGCCGCAAAAACAAACCGAGAACACGACCCTTTCTCCAACCACAGAAAACCACGAACACCACCCCACCGGCTAACACCACTAGCCGATCCGACACCCAACCGAGGCAGCCTAACACCACTAGCCTACTCCGGGGACCGTCGGCCTCCCCCAAAGCTCGGAAATCGAGCAAGGGGAGAAAGGGGACGAGCGGCTTCCCAGCTCGGCCGCTCCAACCAAGCCCAAATAAAGCACCCCTATCAACCCAACCCGCAAGGAGAAGCCACGACCCGCCATCCCCGCACACACGCGGAGCCAGCGACCTGACCCCTGCGGGAACCGGAAGACCACCAACGGCAATCCTCCAAAATAGGCCGACTAGAGGCGCCCGACCACAGCCGATTTCGGCGACACAAGCGTCATCCACACGCAACCCCACCCCGCCATGCCCCAAACCACTGAATTCCGGCGGCCTCGAACGGAAATTGATTCCGCCGGAACCCTAGCCCTAATTCAGCGACAACAAGACAGAGGAAGGGAGAGCCGCGTCCATGGATGAGCGGAGGAGATCGTCCACCGACGATGACGGACGCCGGCTGAGGGAGTTGACCTGCGAGAAGAGATGAAGCCCGAAGAAGAGATTTGGGGGAAGACGGGATTTGGGGGAAGACACCACTCTATATCAATAACCGAATATTTGGTTAATGATAGCACACGTCTTTATTTCAAGGAGCGGATATTCTTTGACCTTTAATTAATCTGAACAGATTGCCTTAACTTTTCAATTTTTAAAAACTCTTTTTTTAAATATTTCGGCTTATAATTCGGATTTCATTATACAAGTCATCGGATTGTTTGAATGAAAATGAATGAAAAGAATACAAAAAACAGGTACCCATATTCATATAACCAATCCTAAAATATTAGTTTGTTCACCAAAAAGAGACAAATCCTAGAAATCCTAAAATATTAGTTTGTTCATCAATCCTAAAATATTAGTTTGTGACCAAAAATATTAGTTTGATTTTTAGGATTTGTCTCTTTTGAAAATATTAGTTTGTGATAATGAGGAGTTACTAAATAATCAAATTCATAATGTTGTGTACAAGGAGATTTTTAATAATTTATGATTAAACAATGTTCCTATGTATTTTAATGATTTCAATTTCGATTCTAATGCACGTGAGGTTATATTATTCTTCTAAATTTTACATCCCGTGCATCGCACGGGTTACGTACTAGTTTGATTCTTACACACTTAAAACAGTTGGAGGACAAAAATTCATTTATACTCTTTCTAGTTGATTTAAAAAACATGTCAGTATTATTGATGTCATCAAAATCAGCACGCAAATTTATTAAAGCTAGTAAATTAGTGCACTAATTTGAAGACAGCACATTAATCTGTAAAAATGACTTTTTCTTTTCCTTGTCAAGTTACATTATAGAACCCATTGAAAGAGAGGTTAAACTAATGAACCAAACATTTCTGGATTAATCACCATTCATCTTAAAATTCAAGAGTTGAACCAACACAATTCTAAATTCTAAAAGGAAAAAAGTATATAAAATAGAAAAAGAAAAAAATAAGTTTAAAAACTAAACAGTAATAATAGGGTAGGCCATTGGTGCTGGCTCCTCCACGTGCAATAATGCCTTATTTCTTTTCTTTCTTTATTATTATTTTTATTTTTATTGTTATTATTTTTTATTTATGTGCCTAGTGAGTCCTACTCCGTCCCAATTCATGTACGGATTATTTCAGAATTTTTGGGGATCATAATAATAACTATTAAATTATTAACATTCAAATAGCCAGACTGTGACGTTAATTAACTCATTTATTAATTATTAGCTAAGAATCTTTGCTTTTGTTTATATTTTAGTTGGTTTTTATTTTGTGTCTTGAATGTGGCTTTGTTCTCCATTGCACATGCCAACTCCTTTACCACCAATTTATTTCAACGCCGATTCTTTTCTGCAACTTAATATAGAAATTAAAATATAAATAAAAAGCAAAAGAACTTGTCATTCTGCAAAGGCATTATTATTTAATTTGTTGTGTAAATATAATTACTTAATTACTATTGGTAGTTATTTTGTTAGGTCGTCTGTTGGACAATTATATTCTTCAATATAAATAAAATTATATCACTTCATAGTACATGTATAATGTATATATAGATTTTTAAAAGAAAATACATGATTGGGTTCAACATTTTAAGAATAACATTTATGATTTAGTACTTTTTGTTATCTGTTAACAATGCTGAGAAGCTAATCAAAGCTGATCAATATTAAATAATAGTAATTTATTTATAAGTCCAATTCTTTTAAGACACAATAAAAGAAAAGCCATGTATATATAATTAATTTATCATGCAGTGTGTTCAGCTAAAAGGCTATTTATTCGAGCACGATACATCCTTTAATGGGTAGGCAGAGATCAGAAATGAATGAAGATTGGATATAAATATATAAAATTTCAAGAGCATTCAATTTGACGAAACTCAATTATTTTACGGCCCGATGTAAAAGTTAGCTAGGTCTCCACACATGATAGCCTGAAAAATAAATAATGATAAAAATTAATAAGAGCTATGATGAAATTGATGACAACTTTGCACACTAACTTTATAAATTGATTTAATTTACCATACCAATTTTGATGACACTCAAATTAATATAATTCATACATATGTAAATTAATCATATTCAATAACACTATTAAAAAAAGAAGGTCATATTCTAACAAAAAATTCAAATAATATATTTCAATTGGTATTCCAATGATGTAGCTTTTGGTGGAATTATTCCAACGGAAGTTCCAACGAAAAGATTTCGTATAAGTTTTTCATAATATATTTTAGTTGGAATTTGATATTTCCAAATGCTTTATTGCAGTTGGAATGTACAATAATTTTTATTGAAATTTTTATTTTGACTCATATTTCAACCGATGGAAGATTTACCGTTCAAATCGTCATAATGCAACGAAAATTCTAATAAAAAACTTATTCAAACAGAATATTTTTTTTGGAATTTCCGGTGGCATCCATTGAAAAGTTACAACGAAAATAATAACATTGAAATATCTATTAGAATTGTCGTTGAAATTTTACTGGAATTTTTCGTTGGAATTTTATTATTTTCTTGAGAAACATTTTTGTTTTCACACTATTGAAATGTGTACCGGTGGTATGATCTACTCATAATATTTTTAAATTCTTTTATAGATCCAATTAACTTATAGGGAGCTTAGAGCAATTAATTATGACATTGACAAGAAGAACTAGGCAATGTTTAGTGTGACAGAAGGTACTTATTAGACTGGTCTTTTGGGCTTTTTGCTCATGATTTATTAGTGTCTGCATAAAGTACTTTCAAATCCAAAAAAAAAAAAAAAAANCCAAAAAAAAAAAAAAAAATGCTTTATGTTTTGGGGTAAGTTGGAAATTGCTAACACACTATTATTTTGTTATGTCTATACTCTATAGATAGATAGAGAGAGTGGCCATGTGAGTCTGATTTGGGGACAAAGCAAAGAGAAAGTGGGGACTAAGAAACAGTGCACATGGGAAGGTGGACACATGATTCTTAAACATATGCCCTCAATTTTGTTTCACAGCTCATTTCATAAGTTCTTACACTAACTCCATATTTTATTTTCTCTTCTTTCTTCTACTTTTTTTATTTTTATTTATATATATAAATAATACTTTCCTATATGTGATCCATTTATTATCCTACAATATTATACATTATTGGGTGTCATAGGGATTATTTCTTTTATGTAGTACTATATATTATTTTAGTGAGTAAGAATGTGTTTGGTAAGCATATAAGCTAGCCTATGACTTATTTGGTTAGCTTACAAACTTTCTGTATTCAAACAAGTTCGATTTGGTAAGACGAATTATTTTACAAAATTCGAGATTATATCATAAATTTTCTTGAGTAGTTTTTCAAATAAGCCCATTGAATTTTTCATTTCAGTTAGCTTATCAGCTAATTTTACCAACACTTTTATCATATAAGTTAACTTTTCAGTCATAATTCCGAAGTTATCAGCTATAAACTTGAAATTCACTTAAAGGTTACAAGCTAGTTTATCAACTAAGTTTACGAAATATATAACTTAATCTACTTTATCATATTGGTTAAATCGACATACCGATTCAGATGGTGCTGACAAATTTTGAATTGTTCATATTTTGGTGATACTATAGCCAAAGAGTAATTACGAGTACTTTTAGTAGAAGAGCAAAATAAAAAAGAGAGTATATATAAAATAAAAACATTTATATAATGACGTCATATTTCAGTAGAAGTCTATTAGGCTAACATCGGTTAAATGTAAACATAAAATATACTCCCTCATCTTTCTAATAAGTGTCATTTTAAGAAGTTGCACAGTAATTAAGAATATTTTTTTTGTCAATAATAACTCTCATTAATGAGGATAGAGATGGATGTTTTAAGAAAAGATAAAGAGTGAATATGAGAAGATAGTAGTGTATTTATTAGCTAGATAAGGGTAATAATGAAAAAATATGTACAAAAGATGCAAAACGTCATTTATTTGGTGAATTGTTGATAAAGCCAAAATGACATTTATATAAAAAAAAAGAGTTAGTATTAATTAATATGGTTAAATGTGAAGATCCTTTATGATATATTATAATAATCTACTAAATAAGTAAAATATGTATTTGACTAAGAGTTGAAAATGTCAAATGAAATGATAGAATTACGGAAGAAAATGCAGTGGGTCCAGAATCATCCACACTGTTTCGAGTCATGTTCTTTTATATTGGGAAAGGTTTTTGAGGGCTTAGAGATGTCTTAAATTTCGTTATTTTCAGAATTGCTTGCTCCATCATTTTAATTTTTTATATACTATATATAGTTGCTTTATATTTTTTCGTTTGGTAGTTTTAAATCTTTAATTGATATGATGTCATAGATGATTTTTAATTGAATCAATTGGGAATTATAGAAAAATTGGTTGAAACAGTCATAATTAAACCTATAAATTATGAACACTTCTCAAGAAAAATACTGTCAATCATCGAGGCTTACTTGTTTTCTCAGTTAATATGAGTTTTGCTAAATTTTATATTCAATCATTTATACGATTTTTCTATAATACAACTCAAGAAATTAGTTAAAATTAAAAAAATAATCTTACAGTTGTTTTTTCATGCAAACATATATTAATAATATCATAAAAATTATAAATGTAATGTCATAATTTATCGTATCCTTGAAAATTTAAAAAATATATGGCCTTTTTGTATCCATATCGTATCCAATTCGGTGGTTCGCATCACCACACAAAATAACCCCAAAACTAACTAGATATTGCATCAAACCGAAAAACTAAATACNAAATTAAAAAGAAGTAGACCACTTGAAAGGTACGAAGATTCCTATCGTCTCACTGTATTTTTATCGTTAGATCACAAATATTTACATAAATACGTGCTGATTTAAAGATAAAAAACTCATTAATAGCATGAGATATATGTTATTAGAGTTGTTAAACGAAGCCCAAACTAACTATAGAACGTATTCTATTGAATATCTAACACACGAGATTTGATTTGACATTCAAAAAGACAAAAGAAAGAAAAAGAGGAAATTTAGAGAGGGGCTACTAGAATTGATAAATGAATTGAGCAACTTGTTAGCTCAACTCATTAATGTTTGAGTTCGGTTCGACTTAATTGATAAACGAACCGAGTTCAAGCTCGTACTTATTTAACAATTCATTTAGTTAACGAGTACAACTCGTCAACACTTAAGAAAAACTAAAAACTACTCCCTCCATTTTGAAATATAAGACGTATAAAGATTTCTCATTTTTTTTGAAATATAAGGCGCGCTCAAAAATCATGACAAATTTTTGCATTTTTTTCCAAATATACCCTCATTGTGTTGAAATTAAGGAAGTGTGGAGTGGTTGTGATTAGAGTAAATAAGGTTAATTTAGTCAATTTATTCATTAATTAATGTCTCCTTAATATTTGTGCAATAACCTTAAATGCCTTATATTTCAAAATGGAGGGAGTAGTATTTTTTACCTAGTTTTCTAAACTATTACAATAATTCGGTTCATTAATTATGGTTCAAACTCAAACTGATGAGCCTGAACTTATTATCCATCAGTTGAGTTAACTCAGTCATCGAGTCGAGATGCTCGACTCTATAACAACTCAAACCCAAATCTAAGTATCTACAAACTCACATGGTGGGCTGATTCCCCCACCCCAAATTGTTTTATATATTTATTTATATATAAAACCATTGCCAATTGCCATTCACCATCAGATGATCCTCACTTTCCCACACACCCACCCAGCTGTTGCTAGCTGTCCATTTTCGCACAAAAATCCTTAATAACACCAACAGTTATCCAAAAAAAAAAAAAACACCCGCCAATCAACTAACTACAAACACATTCTGTAATTCAAATGGAGCAGCTTCCGCCCAAGTCTCCGATTCCGATGTCCCACCACAACTGGCCGTCCTTCCCCTTTCAGATGATGCCGGCGGCGCCGGCGCCGGCGCCGGCGGCGTGGGTGGACGAGTTCCTCGACTTCTCCGCGTCACGCCGCGGGGCCCACCGGCGCACGGTGAGCGACCCAATCGCCTTCGTCGAGGAGCCGACGGCCGGCGCAGCCGGCGCCGGCGGCGGATTCGACAGGCTGGACGACGAGCAGCTTCAGAGCATGTTCTCCGACGAGGTCGCCGCCGTGGGCCCCACATCCAACCCCTCCACGCCGTCGGATCACAACAGCGAAGCCCGGATGAAGGCCGAGCCCGGCGGGGAGGCCGACAGCCCGGATGCTCCGGCTCCGGCGGGCCCGCCGGGAAATAAGTCCTCCGAGAGTAACTCCGGCGACACCATCGTCGACCCCAAACGGATCAAACGGTGAGCCAAAATTATTATTATTTAGAAATAACTATTTCTTTTTTTAAAAAAAAAATCAATATCAGATTTTGACCATTTGACTGCAATTGTGAATGGTGAAATCTTTTCATTATTTTTTATTTGTATAATACTAAAGCCATCATACTAGCTGTGAATTTGACCTAAAGTCTATGCATTTAGGTCGTTCTGAAAAGGCTACAATAAGAATCATAATTGTATTTGTAGGGATATTAAATAAATAGGACATTATATCAACTAATTAGTTCAATTTTCTCTAAATGAGTGTTTATCCGATCAACTACTAGAAGATTCTGCGGCTATTATTATAGGCAACATGGGATTCATGCAAGCCGATCGAGATTGTTAATGAATTAATTAATTGAACAACGTGATTAGTGGTTAGCACTTTGTACTTAAATTGTCACAAATTATACAATTATGTCACTAATTAATTAATGTTAAATAAATAGAATATTGGCCAATCGACAATCAGCTCAGAGGTCTAGAGTGAGAAAGCTACAATACATTTCAGAGCTTGAAAGGAGCGTCACAACACTGCAGGTATACAAATATTTAATTGAACTAATTTCTTCTTATTATAATTATATTTTTTAATATACTCAATCAATTTTATATTGGTTTTTTAATTAAAACAAATATATTTATGAATGCAAAGACTGAGGTATCAGCATTGTCACCTCGGGTCGCATTTTTGGACCATCAAAGGCTTTTACTGAATGTGGACAATAGTGCTCTTAAGCAGAGAATAGCAGCTTTGGCTCAAGACAAAATTTTCAAAGATGGTAAGGTATCTTAACTTTCACTAATTTCATTATTTTTTTTTTTGCTTATGAAACTATTTTAATCATATATAATTCACATGTAGTAATTAGTAAAACTCCTAGCTTGCATTTAGTCACAGTTAATATGCTTACGAACTGATATGACATAAAAATTCATGCACGGTATGTGACATATCATGAGATCTTGATACGTAATGTGCAATTGAGCTTTTTCGAAACTAACTATTTGAAAGTCGATCGGGCTAAATTAAGTATATGATGTTCTTGTAATGCTAAGTGTGAAGTCTTTTTTTCAATTAGATAATACCTTAATTGGTTAAATATATTTAATGTTATCTATATATATAATGCAAATTAATACATATTTATTTTCAGAATTACAATGTCCTCACATGTTTATTCAATTTTATTTTTTTTTTTTGGATTTTTTTGGCCCAAAGCCCATCAAGAGGCATTGAAGAAGGAGATCGAGAGGCTGAGAAAAATCTACCACGAACAGAACATTAAGAAGATGGAGGCCGCCGGCGACGACGCCGTGCCTATGTCGCCGGTGGCAAACGCCGGCAAGAGGGGCTGTATGGACGATGAATAAATAATAATATTTTATTTATTTATTATCGTAAAAAGAAGAAGAAAAAAAAAACAGTCTCGTGAATCGTGAGTGGGAGGCCAATGCCATGCATTATTTTCTTTTTTATTTGTTTTATTTTCTTTTGATTTTTGGATTTTGTTTTAAATGGGTTAATTAATTAATTTGGGTGGTGTGTCATGCGATCACGTGGTGTGTCGCTATCTTTCTAAAATCTCATGTTCGTGGTGGGGCCCACTTTTTACCGCTGGTTTGTGATTGAGGCGTGTGAGGAAGGAAGGACACGTGGACAGTTGGAGAGGCTGACATGATCTCATTTATAGAACGCCACCACTTGAGAGGATTTTTTTTTGCAACAATTCCATTAAAAAAATGGAAGAGGGGCAAAAGAGGAAATTCAACGGACAATTATTATTTTTTCTTTGTTAAGTTCAATTCTAATCATTAGATTGATGATATATTTTTACTTTGTAAGTTAGATTTTGTTTTCGGAGTTTGATGTTTGTTCGTTGATTTGTTTGATTGATTTGTAATTCGTTTAAGGTTGTTTGTTTGGTCTGTGGGCTTGCAGATTTGTGTAGGGGTAGCTTGGGGATTTCTGTTTTATTCTATCTATATATATATAATTGCTAGCTAAGCAATAAATTTTACCTAATAAATTTTACCTATGTGGCAAATCATTAATAAAACCTAATAAATAGAACCTAATAAATTTTATTTATGTGGCATTAATACACTCAATCTCATTAATAAGAAAATATTTCATTACATTTTTTGGGTTAATTAAGACAAAAACTATTATATTTTATGTTAATTGATAATAATTATATTTTTTATTAAATAATATAATAGTTAATATTAAAATTAGTAAGTATATTTTATACTAAATAATATATGAAAGTTACATAAAATTATATTTTACACTAAAATCAATATTTTTTTATATGATGAGGATGTTGTTTATTAATAAAATAATTTTTTTTATGTCATAGTAAAATTTCTTAAAATCACATAAGCAATTGTTATAATAAATGTAATATTTTTCAGCTAATTAATTGGTCATGATCATTCAAAATTATAAAAAGTATATATACATTGCATTTTATGCAATCAATATAGTGATTCGTATACAATCAAATCGTGTGTACTATTTATTTTAACCAATGATCAAATTTTAAAATATAATACTATTATATAATTTATAATTTTAATATTATATACATAAATATAACTTATAATACTATATGTTTGAAATATAATACAATTATATAACTTATAATTTTTATATTATATACATAAATATAACTTATAATATTTAATTTTATTTACATCTGTGCAAATGCACAGAGTCGAATACTAGTTTTGTGAAAATGTTGAATGGCTTCTTAATTAATGATGTCATTGTTTCAACTGAAATTGAGTTTTTATCTTGTTTCCATTCGTAATATTAAAATTATTATTATTTTTATATTTTTTGACATGTCAAATTGGGGGGAGTAGTTCATTAATTTTATTTGTTTCTCATATTTGTCCTCTAATTTATTAGGTTTGTAAATTGGTAGATTACCTTATATTGTATGTCAATTTCGTTTAAGAAAAGCATCCAAGATTTTAAAATGAAATTCTCTGTGATAACGAATGCAAATTTAAAATAAATTGAGGAATTTTGTACACATGAAAATATGAACAAAATAAGATATCACACTATTAAAAAAAATTCCATACTTCAACGAAAAATCCAACGAGATTATATTTAAATTCCAATAAAAATTACAACAAAAATTTCAATTGTATAACTTCTGTTGGGATGATTCCAATGAAATTATATCGTTAAAATGAATTTTTTATTTATTCTAACGACAATTATTCAACGGTTTGTTGTCGTAGAAAATTTCGTTGCAATATGCATTTTAATTAAAATTTTAATTTTCACTCATATTTGAACCACTGTAAAATTTAGCGTTACAATCATCAAATTGACCAACGGAAGAACATCCACTGGAATTGTTGTTTGGAATACCAGCTTCTGTGGCAACCCGCCTTACTAGCTTTGAAAAATCAGAGTAAAATTTTTGCTTTTGTTTTCGAAAGGTGGTGCGAGTTTGGTTTTCGAAAACACTAACTTGTTGCGGGATGACACAGATAAAAACTTTACTTAACTTGCTCACAGACATAATAAAACATGCAACCAAACTATCCGTTACGGATATAGAATCATACATGCCATGTCTGAACTGTCTCGCACAGTCTAAAGTCTGCTAGCGGAAGCATCCGAAATACAGAAATACATAAAGTACATGCATACATATCTGAATGGATACATGATCATAAAATTAAGGGCATAAAATGTGCATAAAAATGTCCTCGCTGTCATGACCACGCTTCGCCACGCATAGCTCACCCGACATGCTCGACTCCGTCTCCTGAAAAACACAATGGGGGCGTGAGCAAACCACTATGCTCCGCAAAGACCAGTACTGAATAAGACATCATGTATAATAACGTATCATGAACATAAATATATAAGAGCTGAACTGTAAACTTTTCTTTTCTTTCTGTACTGTGGTCAAAAGACCCTCGGCCTCGGCCGCTCGCGTGCACACACCGATGGGATATTAAGGCCCTCGGCCTCCACCGGTACCAGGTAAAACTCGAAAGGCCCTTAGATCGGCTGATCACCTGGAAAAACTAACTGTCTCGAACATACCTCTGCCATGGTACTGATATTATATCTAATGTGAATTCATTGAAATATATTTCGATGGACTTTTATATCATTTTTTTTGTAGTGTCATTCACTGCTTTAAAAAACAAGGGGTTGGTTCTATATTGGCGGTCGAATTTTGAACTTCAATATTAAATTCTCAATTATCAAAATATTCGATCTTTTTTCATAAGACATCTTTTGAAATTTTATGGAATTAACATCTTAGAATGATAAAGTTTAAATAGATCCTATGTTTCGATTTCCAACATGACGCCGGTGAATAGAAATTGAAATTTTAAAGTTTTTGGTGGGTTTCAAGACGAATAAAGCTACAATTTGAAATTTCTGGAAAATAATTTGATGAAACCGAAAAGGACATTAGGATAGATCAAGTTCAACTTAAACTTCTATATGATGTATTCAAAAAACGAGGATGGGATAAAATTAACACAATTAAAAATTATTGTACAAAGCTGAAATTGTAAATAAATTACTGAACGAAATCGAGAAAAAAATAAAAAAATATTCTACCAAATTATAACCCTAAAATGTTAGCGGATAGAAATAAAAAACAGAATAAACTATTTAATTATTTTTCCAGCCAAATTGTAATGTTGGTATTAAGTTGGCCTTAATATATTCAAATCCGTGTTCTCATTGATCGTATTCATACCGAATAAACTATTCATTAGTGGAGATTATTCTGTTTCTAATTAATAGTGGGAATACAAATTTAATCTCTCAAACAAACTACGACCAACTATTTGCAATAATTAACAGAAGTTAATGTAAAATAGTTACTAAAATTCAACTATAGTTATTAATTCAAATCTGAACAAACATATATTATATCCAATTTACTCCTTGTGATTTTATACTACTCTCTAATAACACTGTTCAAGATGGAATAAAATCCGTTTTTAATATTTGCAAGAATTTGGACTATTTCAAAAATATATATACACGTCACGAAGTATATATTTGGTTGTGAGAGAATTAGATTCAAAGTATGTGAATCTATTTTAGCTAAGACCCTTGGATACAAAATCAAGACACAGACGCATACTTTACTACTTTCAATAAGGCAAAACAAAAGAAAAAATTAAATATGTTTAATAACCCTATGTATGCAAAGGAATCCTCGAACACAATCTTTTCATTTGAAAGTCAAACAAAAGTGACCTAGTTCTTATCTTAATGTAAACACATGATGTTGGACTGAACAATTTCAGTAATTTTGTTGGTTAGTTTAAATTTTTTAATTAAAAAATAATTAACTTAAAAAAAAAAAAAAAGTTCAAGCACATTTTAATAATATTTAATTGTTTATTGAGATTTTTGATTCATGTAATTTATTAACTAATTTTATATTTTATACAACCATCTACTGGAAATTAATTTATGAAGTATCAATTAACTTATGACCAATCAATTAACTTTTCACCTACATTTATCAAAACATACAATGTATGAATATTCAATATGTTTTCTATAAGCAAATAAATATAAAATTATCTAATTCAATACTGCAATATTAATTTGTTTTATTCCGTTATCTAACTATTGTCTTCTTCCCCACCCTTGAATCTTCTAGCTTTTGAAGCAAGACGACTTTGTGATTGTTCAATTGGGACACTCTGTAACTTTTTGTTAATATAATATGAAATCTTCTGCCAAAAAAAAAAATAATTCAATAAATAAATAAATAAAATAGCGTGTGACGTGGAATAGTGGCTTGCAAGAAACATTTACTTGTACCCAAATTTCCCCCAATGGTACAACTCGTTCAACATACGGTATCATCATCTAGGCTGCTTAAAAGTCTCCCAAGAAAACTTGGTCAACCAAGGCACCAGCTGGTACGATGAAACTTCCCGTGGCTGCTAAGCCATTTTCCACGTATTTATCACAAATTAAGACATTAACATATCACAAATTGTTATACGAGTCAGCCTAACCGTTAGGCAAGTCAATCCATTATACTATTTCAACAAAAGTTTATATTTATCCTATCAAGCGTCACTTTAAAAAAATGTCATATTCTAATAGAAAATCTAATTGTAATACATTTTGTTGGAATGAAAATTTCAAAAAACATTCCAATAGTATAAATTCTGTTAGAATGAGTTTTTCATTAGATTTCTATTTGAAAATTGATGATTTTAACGATAATTTTTCGAACGCTTTATTAGAAATTTCTATTGAAATATGCATTTTCAGATGAAATTTTTTATTCCACTCATATTTCAACAATTGAAATGTCAAAATCCAACGAGAATTTCAATGAAAAACTCATCCAACAGAATGTTTTCATTAATTTCAATAAAAAATTCATTCTAATGAAATATTTTCATTAGAATTTTCGTTGGAATTGCCGTTGAAATTTATTGAAATATCTTTCCATTAAAATTTCATCATTTTTTTGTTGTAGTGTGTCATACTTTAATTTATTTTTAAATTATTACATATGTACATTAATAAAAAAGAGTATGTAGCTCTAATGATAACTGTTTAACATATATATAACATAATCTCCAACCATCAATATAATAAAACATAAACAACAGTATAAATACCAAAACCTACCATTTGCTTCTCTTCACAAAAATCCAATCACCATTAACAAGCTAAAAGCTTCAAACAATCATGAAAACCATATATTTTCTTCTCATCATCATTTCTACACCTACTTTATTCTCCGGCGTCTTTTCGAGGCCTTCGCCGGACGATTTATCTAACGATCACCTGATTTCGGACGGAATTCAATTTAGGCCGGAAAACGAGTTTTTGAACCGGCCAGTTATAAAATCGGAAGAGACTCAGAAAATAGAATGCGAGCAAATGTATGGATTTTTGCCATGCTCGGGGACGATAACTGGCCATTTGTTTCTGATTGTCGTGTATCAATATCTTCTTTTCCATGCCGAGTCCTACGTGGACTCGGGGGGCAAAAGGGTCTTTAAGATACTTGGGCCGGGTATTTTTGGTGCGAGTGCTTTTCAGGTCATTGGATCTCTTCCTGAAGCTTTGATTCTTCTTGGTAAGCCTTTTGCTAAGTCTTCTCAAAATGCGGACCTTTCTATGGTTTTGGGTTTGGATAATAATAATTGTGAAAACACCCTTGAGTTTTGGGCTAATTGCGAATTAAGTCTTAAGGTTTTGGGTGATTACGAAAAACGCCTTCAGAGTCGATAAATATGTATTTTTTTTTTTTAAATTGATGGTAGAGTTGATTCGCCTAACAGTCAGGTTCTCACACGTTAGAGTTTGTTATTTATCTAAGAATTTATGAACTTGAGGTGAAATTCATAGCGATTACTTTCTTGATTTAGCTTTTTTGAACATATATAAGAATTCATTGTAATAGATTGTGAAGTTTCATTGCCTAATTAACAATGTTTGTCTAACAAGTTGTAGCATTCTTAACGTGGTCAATCCATGACTTTCCTATTGATTTTACGTACCAAGTTGAATTTCAAATCATAAAAAAAGAATAACATTCTTGTTACTATATATATTTATTACATTAACCATAGTAAAGTTTTTGTCAATATATATCTACATTACAAGTTACAACTATCATAGTATAATACTAGGAACTCTTGCATCATCTTCTTGCAAGAAAACGTTGAATTTGTTGAAGGAATTAAATAAAAAATGTGTAGTGTTCGTAAACAAATCGCTTGTTTCACTTGGTGATCAGTCATATGAATCAATTTTTCGTGAAAAAAAAAAAAAAAAAGATGGACTAAAGTAATTCTCTAACATTTTCAAAATTTTACTTTCAGCATCCGGGCTGTCGAGCAACGATGAAACTGCTCAAGAATGCGTTTTAACTGGCGTGGGGCTGCTAGCCGGGTCTTCAATCTTGCTCCTAACCTTAATATGGGGAACATGTGTTATAATTGGCAGCCAAAATTTTGCTAGCCATTTACATTCTCATCTTACAGAGGATCAAAAATATAACCCTTTTGAGAGATTCTTGATTTCCTTATGGCCAGGTTTTTTTTTTTCATTTTTTCCCTTTTGGCCTAAACCAACTTTGATTGTT